AGAGAGAGGATATTATCTCTTTGAGCAGAGGAGATGGCTTTCATGGTGATTATGACTATGATACATGAGATATTCTGGTTTATATAGTTAGATATAGTCATAAAATAACATAATGACACCACTTTATAATTTATATAATAGTGGCATGATTTTTATGGTGTCATAAATAATGATTTATATAGTTTTAATATACACTCAAAAAACTGTCCACATGAGTCATCATTTTATAAGCCTTATATCTCCACCATATCTCCGCCGATTCCCACGGTGTAGGGCTCAAATGAAAGCCCTGAAGCCATACTACAATGTGGTATAAGTATGTCCTTGAGGAATTTGTTCATTCTCACACAATATCATAGATAGTGAAAAATGTCAAAACATGCGGACAGTTTTTTGAGCCACTGTAACTAGGCCTATTGGTAGTCATTGCACCGAAACCTCCTTTGTATGAGATGATAGCCTGTCCATGAAAAGGAATTCACCTTCACGCTTTGCGAGGGCTGTCTCAGAAAGATAAGATACAAGATGCGTACTATGTGCCAACATAGATTTCGACAGACTGACCACACATTCAAGTTCGTCAAGCAGTACCTGGCTGCTGTGGCGTGTGTAGACGTTTAACTTATTTGTGTTAGATATCAATGCACCCAACTCGTTATTAATGTACTTACTACCAAGCCAAGTTAACTTTGCAATACCATCTAGGTGCGCTGTGTTGGAATGTTGATTTAATTGGTCTGCAATAAACAGCACCGACATTCCTTTAAAATGCCTCGGATAGCCTTTAAACTGAAACTACACTTAAGGTAGAATGAGAGTAATCCTGCAAGTTGAGGCCGCTGGACTACTTCAAAGTGCCCTGTCCGTTGTCAATGTGACGTCGCCATACCTCATTCTTGTCTCTTAGTCATGTGGTCAGAACATTTGCTGGTCATTGCTAAAGCGGCTTTCAATTAAAATGGCTTGGATAGCCTTTAAACTGAAACTATATATAAGGTAGAATGAGAGTAGGCCTGCAAGTTGAGGCCGCTGGACTACTTTGCCCTGTCCATTGTGACGTCGCCACACCTCATTCTCGTCTCTTAGTCACGTGGTCTGAACATTTGCTGGTCATTGCTAAAGCGGCTTTCCGTTAAAATGGCTTGGATAGACTTTAAACTGAAACTATATATAAGGTAGAATGAGAGTAAACCTGCAAGTTGAGGCCGCTGGACTACTTTGCCCTGTCTGTTGTGATGTCGCCACACTTCATTCTTGTCTCTTAGTCACATGGTCTGAACATTTGCTGGTCATTGCTAAAGCGGCTTTCCGTTAAAATGCTTTAGATAGCCTTGAAACTGAAACTATATATAAGGTAAAATGAGAGTAGGCTTCCAAGTTGAGGCCGCTGGACTACTGTGCCCTGTCCATTGTGATGTCACCATACCTCAACCTGGCCTCTTAGTCACATGGCCTGAACATTTGCCGGTCATTGCCAAAGTGGCTTTCCGTTAAAATGCTTTAGATAGTCTTGGAACTAAACCATATATAAGACAAAATAAGAATGAGCTTGATGGGTGAGGGCACTGCACTACTGTGTATTGTCTACTATGATGTTGCTATATTTCAACCTTGTCATTAACGCCTCTTCGAAGTGTAGATTTGCAGGGATCAATGGTCATTTATGAGCAACACAAATATATTCTAGAATACATGTAGATATTTGGCAAAAGCATTATTGTATTGGTCTATAGGTCTCATGACTACCATATCACAGACTCATGAGTTCACTGATGGCAGCTCTGCAAGTTGTAGGCAAGTACTATGCACTCACTGATGACAATGAAGTGTGTCGCATTGCAATTAGTGAGTCTCCGTCTCCGTTACACCATTCTGTCCTCATCTATAATATTATGATATAGTAATGTGCCCAGAAAAAAAATGGCACTTGATTTTTTGTCTGCTCCAGGTATTTTCCTCGCTTGTTAATTGATGAAATCTGATGGAGACCAATTAGCTTCCTTGGTTGACGCTGAGCAGGCTTTTTCAGGTGGCCGTCTTCAGGTCAACCACCTCCAGCATGGTGTTAGTTCGCAACCTTCAAAGCTCAGATGGCTGTGGGATCATGGTACAACACACCTCTCATGAACGATCTCGGTGCTGTCACATCAATCATGCGAACGAAGATGGTAAAGGGCAAAGGCCACCTCAGGCAGCAGTTCTCAGCGGTAATAAGGGGTCTTTCAGACCCAGTTTCTTTGTTATGGGAAACTGGGCTGAGAGACCTTTCATCTTGTGAGGATCTTGCTAGTTATGATCTAATAATAGCCTATGCCTCGTTGCCCTCCTCTTGCGTGCATCATTGCCTCCTTTTGGGAGCATCATTGCCCTCCTGCACCTCATTGCCCTCCTCCAAGATGGGATTGAGATCTGTTTTGTTCTAGCATCCTCTCATCATTCAACCACATGTTCATGACATTTGCTCTCTCTGTGGAATCCCATAACTGTCGCACAGGCAGTCGCTTCCATGGCTCCAAGTCACTGCTGTGATTGTGTCGCTGCGGTTCAGTGCACCGGTATTTCAGACATGTTTGGTATCATCTTGTCCTTACTGTTTTCCTAGCAACCAGATTTTCCAACCTTTACCATATGCTCGGTTGGTAGTGGAGTACCAAATCTCCCCGACCTTGGTCAAAGTGAGTCATGTGCATGAAGTCTGTGCACAACACTGACATTACCTGAGCTCGGTATGAATTTGTCTCTAGTATTCCTCCCAGTGGACCTGCTTGCAGCCAGGGCACAGATCCATTCACACCATACACCAGCAGTTACCTCGACCACCCGCCACCTCCACTTGTTTCTCCTGCCCTTACCCACACCATCGCACAACAGACGACTATAGGTTCACCTGCATTCACCATCAAGTATGTTCACCATTTGGGTGACCTACTAGGCATGATGCCTGGCATTACTGCTGTAAAAGTGAGTTTGGATTGACATGTGTTCTTTGTGTGATCTAATTGTGTTCCTTGCAGGTTTTTGCGATTTTCATGCTCACGTAGATCTGCTGCATCCGCAGGGACAACACTATGACTGGTTCGCAGCCGAAGCTTGCTAGTCTATGGAAGTAATTCGTGGTACTAATCCCTCCCAGCCCTCTGGCGTGTACCCAACCACACCTCCCAGCCCCCAAGTGCGCTACAGCATCCACTGCTACCCCCAAGTGCGCTACAGCATCCACTGCTACCCCCGACTGCACCCTCCAGCACCCGCTACTATCTATGCTATAGCATTCCGCATGGCCCTCATCATCAATTGTCCATGCTCTCGCTCCAGCCGTTCTACCTGCTCCTGCACAGACGCAGACCTCATTGATCGGCCCAGCTTAAATATATACAACTAGTTGTACCAAGTCTGAACTAGCGTTAATTGGAGGCAAAGTCTCGATGTACTAAAGTCTACTAGTAAGCCTTGAATGGAGTTGGAGTTTTGGTGCTATGATCGAAGCTTGACAGTGCACTACCTAGTACAATACATTGGTATCACTGCAAGTGGCAACAGGCGTCTTGCTGTAGTAGCCCATCGGTCAGGCGCACCCTTGGGGATTCTGTTGATATAAGTGATAAAGTAAGCATGCAGTGTTTTCGGTAGCGGGAGTGGAGTTTTTGCTTTCTGACCCATAAGTACTACAGAGGCCAAATACAAACACTAATTGCAATGGACAGTGCGAGCATTCTAAGCGTTAAATTGGTTTACTCAGATATTCTACTGAACATATTGCAGACTTATGGGTATCCTTGGAACAGGCATGTTATGCAGCATCTCAATATGCACACTAGCAGGACTTATGCCAAAGGTAGAGCTATCAGGCTATGTTTTTGTTTTGTACCTATCATTATACGGATACTGATTGGTTGATCAATGGTGCGCAGACATCCTCTGTGCATCCTCAACTTCGTTCCTCCGAGTCACCGGGTGCACCGAGAACCTCCCGCTGATCTTACCCGAGAACCTCCCATTGAACTTGATCAACTTGATGCATGTCATGTAATCACATGATTTTGTGTACTCACGTCACGTCGCATCACATGATATTGTGTACTCCATTGTCACTCGTATCTCATGTGCATGTGTCCATTAATTTTGATATTCTATTCTGACTAACGTGGTTGGCACTGGCAGTGTCCCATTGAAGGAGCCATGTCCTGCCATTATGGAGGAGCATCCTCAGGCTGTGCCAAATACTCATATCTATGTCTAACCTCCTGATGCCATACTATAGCACTCCAAGTCAACACCCATCTTCCACCTCTTCCACAAGACCCACAAGACCTGTAACCTGCCAAACCTATATCATGTTGCATGTGATGATGCGACACAGTACGTCCGTCCCACTGCCAATGCAGCTGCAACATGAAACTTGGCGCTTTAGGACAATGGAAGAAAGAACTGGATAAGGATATGATCGAGGCGAGCTGCTGAGTGTACAAGGTCCGTACTGCCCCAGATCATCCCTACCACCTTGTTCAACTGACGATTTGATGGGTCATTCAAGTCACCGAGTCCTTTTGGGTGCTGTTGGTAACATCCCTTCAGCAGCCTTCAGCCCTGATACTAGATCATCCCCCCGCTCAATTTCAACAATGAGCATGTTCTAATACATGATGTGCCCGCGAAGTGTGGCAAGTGGTCTAGGTAAGTTTTTAAATCTGTTTATGTGTAATTACATCTTTTCACCCAGGCTTCCTCTATAACCACAATCACGGTCTGAATAACACACCCAACCACACCCTCTGGCATCATCCTGCACCACCTGCCCACACCTTACCATCAAGACCTAGTGCCACATTACAATGGACGTAATGTGCATGAAGGCTGGCAGCCTCACTACAGCTCGACAGTGTATCAGGCCGAGAATATACACACCTGACTCCGGTCCTCTGATGAGCCTTTTAACCTGCTCTGTAGTACTAGTATACAGTTGCTTTCAATGACAGATTATGCATGTACTCTCTTACCAGTTGAACGAAGTGCTTTTGAGGTTCACACAGCGAGAGAAGTCTCGTTGAACCAGATGCATTTGAGGTTCGAAAACGCTCAGAAATAAGTCTCACCAAATGAGATGCATTTGAGGTTCGTGAGGTACCTGACACGAGAACATTCAAACAATCACTCAAAGTGAATCACTTTCGCGAAGCTAGTAAATGAAACTATTTAGAACTGTCAATTTCAAAAAAAAAACCCTGAAGCTCAGGCCACAGATCTAGAAAATAGATCTAGAAGGATGTGCCAGTCTTGTCCTCCATAACGGGAGTTGAATGGTGGCAATGTCAAATTCAAGTTGACAAGGCCATGGTGGACAGCACTGCGTGATGAGGAAGGGAGCAAACGCACGACACAACGAGGAAGAGTGCAAACTAGTACTACACTTACCACAAGAACCTCCGCCAAAACCTCCGAGTGAACCTGAGCTAAATATCCAGGATCCTATTGTGGAAATGAGGGAGAAGCCTCCTGGGGATGATAGGCTTTCAGCCTAGTTTCCCATAACATGGAAACCAGGTCTGAAAGACCGTGTGAACCTCTTTGAGGTGCTGCCAAGGGTGGCAAAGGCAAGGCCTCAGGAAAGGGAAAGAGCAACAATATTGTTATTGACTTGGACTAATCTTCGTACATAGTGTTTTCGCTCCTCAGCACATGTACATACCAGTATCACAAAATATGTCTACTCACCCATGGGTGACCCGTACCCATGATGCTCTTACCCGCGCAGATGCGGGTAGGCCTCTGAAATCTTTGGTACCCGCAGGTTGGGTGCGGGTATGACCCGGGTCGACCCGTGTCACGCCCTAGGTAAAATGAATTTTTAGAGATTCATGGCTATGTACCAACAACTGATATTTATTGCCATATACATAGGTATACTCAGCCGTCGCAAAATGATATCATCTTATACTTCCCACGGCTACCAAATCAAGGACTCATGAATTCACTGATGTAAGCATATATTGCCATATCTTGGTCATGCAATTTTTGTGATGACTTGTTCAGCATCTTCCGTGTTCATTTACCTATTCTCTACGGCAAGACGAAGCAAAATGCGCTTGGCCGGCTTTTACAAGAGATCATCGCTCGGTCAGGCAACACTGTTGTCCTTGACTGGGTTGGAAAATCATCTGCATTTATTGCTGTTTGCAAAAGTATTGGCACCGACGGTATTTCCAAAAAAAAGTGCACGCCACACCAAAAAATACAGCAATAACTTTTGATTTGTTTCTCGACAATAAGAAGAGTTATCGCTAAGCTGTAAGAGACAAAGTTGGTCAGGGAACCAAGGCCAAGGTGCGTGCAACAAAAACGGGATGACTTGACAAAGTTCGAACCAAGTTGTCAGTTGACCCCCTCCCAACCCTTTTGTGAATTGTTGTGAGCGAAGGGCAGCATGTGTGAGCTACCAGCGAGTTTCTAAGTACTCAGTGAAGCATGCAGGAGGTGCTAATAATTTGTATCAAGCTATTTCAATACTTTTAGAATGTGTCATAGTCAATCAAGCCGGGGAGCTTTGTAAGAATTAGGCTTTGAAGTTTCAATTACTACAGTACTACCACTGTACCCACAACTTGAACTCCCCTCGTCACACACGACGATGATGTGACCCATCCTCTGAGCCTCTGTCACACAATGGTGAATGCATGCCAGAAAGCATCTGCTGCTGCAAAGTCAATGAAACAGCGAGGGCGTCCACCTGTCAACAAATCAGCGAGGACTACCCAACAAGAGATAAAATCTACAGCAGGCGTGGTGTCCGAAGACTCACCAGCACCTGCAGCAAAGCCAAAACCAACTCCACGGGCAGTCCCAAAACGGATCCATGTGCTTCCTCCCAAAAGTCCAGTGTCATCTGACTTGGACAGGCATGCCATTGAGCTCAAAACTGCCAAGAACGAAGCTGCAGATATACTTGCAGGGATGGCAGACAGTGGAACAGTTAATGGGGAGAACGAGAACTTGTTCACGAACCTTGATGACTTGGCACTTGGCGAGCCTGAGATTGAGCAGCAACTGGAGCCTGAGGATGAAGATAGGTCCTGTGAAGAGTTCTCCAGATCGTCGAAAGAGAAGGATTGATGCTCGATGTGTACTGTACACCCGTCTGTAGTTCATCTAAGTATGTATCACAATGGCGGGTGACACATTCATGAAGGTACTGAGCCACCATAAATGTGTCTAATCTTTTGTATACAAGCACACTGACTTACATTGACATCATCGATCTGTACTGTTCATGGCCAGCCGACTCGTTGATTGTTGCGATCAGTATAAGCTTGACCAGTTTTCTTGTAACAACGGATAACTCACTGGATTGTGCGCTTGCTGGGGCCAGTGTATGCTGTGATCTCCAAGATCTCGAGCAGTGGAAACATTCGGACAATGGCCTCGCAAAGATGTTCAGAAAATTTTTGCATGCTGGTGTGTTTGAAGAGTGTTATCGGTGTTGGGAACTTGAAGATGATGTTGCTTGATAAGCTAAGCAAGTACTAAGACTATGACACATTCTAAAAGTATTGAAATAGCTTGATACAAATTATTAGCACCTCCTGCATGCTTCACTGAGTACTTAGAAACTCGCTGGTAGCTCACACATGCTGCCCTTCGCTCACAACAATTCACAAAAGGGTTGGGAGGGGGTCAACTGACAACTTGGTTCGAACTTTGTCAAGTCATCCCGTTTTTGTTGCACGCACCTTGTCCTTTGTTCCCTGACCAACTTTGTCTCTTACAGCTTAGCGATATCTCTTCTTATTGTCGAGAAACAAATCAAAAGTTATTGCTGTATTTTTTGGTGTGGCATGCACTTTTTTTTGGAAATACCGTTGGTGCCAATACTTTTGCAAACAGCAATAATAGCTGTCTCCTAGCCGATATTATTTCGTACAAAACTCCACCATGCACGTTGCCATCTCTGTCCGAGGACGAGATGCAGACATGTGTATCTACACTAAGAAACACTGAGGACATATAAGGTGCATGGGTAGAATCTACCGTGGACTGACGTAGAAAATTGGTAGACTCTGTTCAGATAACTCCATGGAATCTACCGCAATACACCCGAGTCTACCGCAGTCCACCC